TCCCATGAGGGACAAAGGACTTGTTCACGGTCACGGAGCTACTCGGTGAGAGTCAAAATCAGGGTGCACACGTCTGAACGAGGATGGTGCCTTTTCAGCCGTCGCTGTCCCCGGCATGGGAGCGATTTCAGTGCCCTGCACCTGGGAGACAAGCTGGTGCAATTTATAGACATACACCTTTCTCAGCCTCGAGACATCTCGATGGCACTAGAAATTGTCTCATCTCACGGGGGATCAGTTAGAAGCTGGCCCCGGGGGTCCAATTAGGCCACATAACAGCAGTTGCTGCTTTCAGAATCATTAGCTTTTTAATCCTCCCAGTGAGAGGTGAAAAAAGTGTGAACATTCAAGTCGGTCTCATGGATTTAAGTGACTTAAGCAAGAGCCCCCAGGAGAGCGAAAAGCTTTTAGCAGCTCCGGTACATTGAGAGTTCCCATTTGTCAGGTGCCTGCCTCGTCTGCAGGTGCAAGATGTTGCCCCAATTTGCAGACGAGGAAACCGAGGCTTGGAGGGAGGAAGGGACAGGCACAAGGTCACACAGCTGTATCACAGCAGAGCCAAGATTTGCACGTCGATCTGACCCTTAAGACCAGTTGCCACCTTTGGCAAGAACATTGAGTTAACAAATTATGAGATTTGGGTTTTCGGTGTGGCCCAGGGTGAGTGCGTGAGAAACATTTGTCAACTGCGTGAATGAATGAAAACCTGTGCGCGTCCTTGAGTAAGCACTCCCCACGGTCACACGCACAGACAATGACGCGTGGGTGTGCCCTGGCACACGCAGCCTGCAGCTTCGGTTCCCTCGCCTCAGAACTAGGTCTTACGCTTGGCTCATTTATTCTATGTTATTAATACCTCCTTGGCCCCAGGATGCTTTTGAGTTTGCGACTTCTGGAATGGAGATTTATTTTCATGACCAGAAAACCGTGATAATTTTTAGAAATTTGCAGTTTTGCAGCAGCCCACAGTCTAGACTCTTGGCTGCTCAGAGTGTGGCTTGGGGGCCTGCGGCTCCGGCATCACCTGGGACTCCTTGACCGGCAGAATCAGGGTCTGCAGCTTATCAAGGGGCCGGGCGAGGCCGTGCGGGCCAGGGTTCCGGCTGCACCGGTCTGCCCTGCCCGCTTCCTTCCTTCGCAGCTCCTGGCGACTGTAGTTACACACTCACTCGGGTGCCTATTTGCCACCCATGTCCCCCTCCAGACAGGAGGCTCCATAAGGACAGAAGCTCTGACTGCTTTTGCTCGCTACTGTCACCCTGTTTGGAGCACGTGCCTGGCATGTGGTAGGCAATAAACGAATGAATGAATGAGCTCATCTCAGAGGCTGTGACCCCTGTGCTCAGCGAATCCTCCTCTCACCCATAAGAAGCTGGGGAGGAAGGAGAGGCTTAGGGTCTGTAATTCAGAAGTCAGTGGAGGCTGGGCACAGTGGTGCACACCTGTAATCCTAGCACTGAGGAGGCCGAGGCAGGAGGATCACTTGAGCCCAGGAGTTTGAGGTTGCTGTGAGCTATCGTGACACCATGGCACCCTACCCTGGGCGCTCCTGACCTGAAGGGGACGTTCACTGGCATGGCCCCCCGTGTCTCCACCCTCGGGGTATCTGTCCAGGCTCTGACTTGCCATCTGGAAACAGCAGGCACCTGGGGGTCATGGAAAGACATTCCGGGCTGCACTGAGGAGCAGGTCGTCTCCTGTGACTGCCCACTTCCCCCCGTCACAGGGACTGGCATTGCCCACAACAGCCACTTTGCCAAGCCCACTTCCGGGTACCGGGATGACGTCTGGCTACAGGAGCTGCAGGGCAGACCTCCGCGTGCACGTGACCTCTGAGGACTGGTGGCCCTCCACCACCTGCAGGAGCACGAGGGGGGAGAAGCTCTCTGCTCCTGGGCAGTCCCTGCCCCCGACCTCTGTGCCGAAGCACGGGGGTCTTCTCCATCCCGCCACCGCCCATCCTAGGCCCCCAAGGGAGGAAGGAGCCAGCCCTGCCGCACGCTGGACGTCAGGATCGTCGATGAAGTCTACACCGTCCTGACCATGGAGAGAGGCAGCAGAAAGGGAGGAAGAGAAGGAAGAAGAGAGAGAACGGGAGAAAACAGATCATCCCATATGCAGTTCAACACACTCATTTTCCAGTTTCTCAATTCCCACAAGTGTCCCAGGATAAAATGATTAAATGTGATATCAATAGAAAACAGATAAAAAGCCTGTATTTAAAAAAAAAAAAAAATCACACTATCTGCAAAAGGAAAATCTCTTAGCACTTAAAAATGCGTGTTCCTCACTTGCACAGTCTTCCTGGGGCGGCGGGGTGGGAAAGGGAGAGTATTATGGGCTAGCACAGCAGGGGAGGGAGGCTGCCCTGCTGGGGAAGGCAGGGTGCTCAGCAATTCAGAGACCAGGGCAGAGGCTTGCAAAGGAAGCGGCCAGGCAAACATGCAAATCATGCCATGAGAGCGGAAGGAAAACACTTGCCTCAAATTTATGGGATACCAAGTTAATTGGAGCCCATAGGAATGTTGTTTCCATAGATTTTGGGTTTATGAATATTTACATATTTATTCAAGAAAACATTCAAAATGTTTAATTCAGCAACTTATGCATTACTGAACGTACTCAAGTCATGAGCTTTTGCCCGTGATGAGAGAGTGGCTGCTTCAGAATGAGACGGTTCATTCCCTCGTCCTGGGGGAGGATGAAGAAGGGACCAGGCAGTGCGGGGCACCCTGCCTGGAGGAGCGAGTCTAGGTTAAGGAAATCAGCATTGCATGAGCACCTACTGTGTGTCAGGGCTTTCCTTGATGTCTTGACATTGGGCCACCTGCTATTCTAACCTTTCTGTTTTTTCAGAGATGAGATTTCGCTCTGTTACCCAGGCTGGAGTGCGGTGGTGACATCATAGCTCACTGCAGCCTCGAACTCCTGGGCTCTAGCGATCCTCCTGCCTCAGCCTCCCAAGTCTCTGGTTCTACAGGCACAAGCCACCGCACCCAGCTCCTAACCTCTTTTTTGAATGTGACCCATAATAAAAAATATATTTTCACACTGCCATTCAGCGTGCACACATACACACACACCTTCTCACATCTATAACTGGAACAAAAGTCTCACACAATTCCTTCTTAACTATGGGCAATGCGTGCTAACATTTTTTTTTCAATGAAATAGATAATTCTCTATTTTTTAAAGTCCAGTTATGACTCTCTAAATGAACTTTGAGACCCGCACCCCCACCCCAGCGGTTTGGACTTGAGCAGAGTTTGACTCGGCCGGGGTTGGTGATTCAGGGCGCCGACTTTGGGGTGGACTCACATAGCCTCGAGCTCAAGTCCCAGTTGCCCTGCGCGCAGGCCGTGTGGCTTGAGCGAGGCACTCAACCTCCGGAGCCCCGTGCAGTGGAGAGAATGGCATCGCTGCCTCCCCACGTCGTTGTGAGGACACTCGAGGCCACGTGCATCCGCAGTCAGCAGGGCCTGGCGCATAGTGAGTGTTTAAGTGCATGCTTGTTGCCGTTATGACGATGACCGTCGGTGGCTGCGGTGCCATGCTTGGGAAGGCAAACTTTGTAGCCAGATCACCTGGGTTCGGATCCCAGCTCCACCGGTTAGGTCCTGTGTGTCCCCGAGTGAGTTACTTAAACTCTCTGTGCCTACAGCTCTTCATCTGGGGATGAGAATAGAACCCTCCTCGCAGGGCATGAGGATTAAAATAATTAATCCCAGTAAAGTATTTAGAAGAGAGCTTGGCACGTAGCGAGCTCCGGGTAAACGGTGGAGATGGTCATGATCTCGTTTAATCCTCCTGCATCCTTGCAAGGTGAGGACTTTTATCCCCGTTGCACAAGGGGACTCTGGGCCCGGAGATCCAGGCACCTGCCCGGAGTCTCACAGCAGCAAGTGCAGGAGTTGGAAGTCCAAGCCGGTCTGCTGGGTCTCCCTCAGCTCAGGAGCTAAGAGAGGCTCAGGGCTCTGGACCTCAGGGTCCCAGGGTGGCCCGGCCACTGCCCTCCACGACGGGGCGTGGGAATCGGCAGGTGGGGGCACGCTTTGCCCACGTGTAGACGCATCGTCCGGAATTTGTCTGGTTCTCCGCAGTGAGGACGTGGAGTTGCGTTGTTAAAGATGATGGAGCGCAAAGATACTCCCCAGTGAACTGTCCTCACATGAAGTCACCCCCTGGCAAACAACTCCCAGCTTGACGCTCACCTTTCATCGCCTCCTGCGCGTTCCCTGCCAGCGGCATTGGGCGCCGTGTGTCCGGGACACGGGGCAAGGCGCAGTGCCCGGAGCTCAGGCCTCGTGCGTCTCCCTGCTCCGTCACCCTGGCTGGCGACTAGGGAGCACCCAAGATGTGCCTTCCTGTAGTACTGGTGCCAGCCCCAGCTGGACCCCACGGACGGGAGGTGGGGGCAGGGGAGGGACGCCAAGGTGACGTCATCAGAGGAAGGGGGAGGGTAGCTGGACAATCAAAGCCTAGCAGTGGCTGCCATTCCGGGGTTCTTGGGGTCACTTTTGAGGCGGGGAAGGGAGTGGCTCTCCATCCAGCAGTGAAATGGCACCAGCTCGATCCAGTTCCCAGCGGTGCTGCTGTCTAGTCAGGTGACCGCCGGCTCAGGCCCGCTCTTGCTGTCTCTTTGGCCCTTGTTTCTCCACCTGTGCGGTGGGAGGGGGTGGATTCTGCTCCGGTGTTTGAGGGTGCTGCAGATTCTCTGTCTGTCACCCTTTTATTGAGCACCTGGAGAAAGAACACACCCAGAACGGGTTCTGAGCCCCTCAAGAGGAAGAGCGTCCAGCCTGGGTGACAAAGCGAGACCCTGTCTCAAAAAAAGAAAGATGATGAGTGCTAAAACGTTGCACCGCCGATAAGCTTGTGTGGAGGACAAAGCCCGTGACGGAAACTCCAAGAAGCCCCGCTTAAGCCAGCGTCCCGAGTGGCCACTTCTGCAGAACGTCACCCTGAGGGCTAAACCCTCCCAATTTTCTTTTCCCCTGCAGGCATCAGCACACCGGCTGCCCTGGGAGTGCCCCAGCCCGTTGCAAGGTGAGTGGCATCGCCTCTTCCCCTTCTCACACCCTCTCCTTTCCTCTGTCTGGGAGCTGGGAGTTAGGAGAGAGGCTCTGGAGCCGGACTCCCTGGAGAGGAGCCCCAGAACCTCCTGGCTGCACCACCTTGGGCAAGTGACTCCACCTGCTCAGGCCTCAGTGTTCACATCTGGGAAAGGGGCACAGCATGCTGCCTACCCCATGAAATAAGCAAAAACAAGGAAAAAAGCACTTAGAACGGGGCCTGGGGCAGAGTGTGCTGAGAGCGTTAGCTGTCATTTTCTTCTTTCTTCTCTTTTAAATTCTTTTCTCCCTTCCCTTCCTCTCCTCTCTCATGCATAGACTTTCTTGATCCCTTCCTCCCCTCCTCTCCCTCTCTCTTTTCCTCCTCCCTTCCCTCTCCCTCCTTTCTCTCTGTGCCTCTCCGTCCCTCTTGCTGTACCCCCTTTCCCCTCCTCACCCCCTTGCTTCTCTCTCCACCTTCCTACCTCCCTATTTCTCCCCGCTTCCCCTCTCTCCTTCCACCCTTTCTTCCCACTCCAACGTTCACACATCGCTCCTTGACACCAAATCCCACAGGACACAGTCCCTGCCCCTGCGGAGCCTCCAGTCCAGTGGGGGACACAGACCAGTGAGTCAGGGGTCTCAACCCGGTGGCGTGAATGCGCCGCCGTAGGCTCGCACGCACCGGGCCGGTGGAGCGCGGTGCTGGACGGGCCTTCACCGGGCCCCGGGCCTGGCCGCGTGGCCAGCGTGGCCCTCGGGCCAGGCGGTGAGCTCTTCAGCGCCTGGAAATCTTCCTTCCTCACCAACACAGAAGACGACGTTTAAAAGGAAGACGTTTCCTCAGCCTTCGCTTCCCTCTGGAAGGTGTTTTGGGGAGTTGTTGGTAGCAACGGAGCGCTGCTACATCTATCTGCCTCCTTTTTAAGGCCTCGAGGTTGGAGAGCTCCCCCACCCTCTCTCTGGGTTTTAACTTTAGCCCCAGTTTAATGCAAGTCATTTACATGGGGTTTGCTGGGAAGCACGAGTTGATCATCTTGGATCTCCACCTTTCGCTTCTCTCCTAAGCAAGGGTATGAATCAAGAACATTTTCCAAATAAGGGTCTCTGCTCAGCATGAAGTCCCAACCCACCAGACGTTTGCTTTCCAGGCGCCCCGTGGAGCCGGAACACTGACTGATGAAACACCTCCCGGGGCCGGCTCTGGCATCTCAGTTCAAATGAGTTGCTTGTGCATTTTGAAAGAAGTTCCCCACAATTAACGTTTATTGCAGCAGTCGTCAAAAAGAAAGAAGGACAGGAGGACATTTGCTTATAATCCCATAAACGTTTGCATTCATCTTCCCCTGCTATGCAGTTTCCTAGGTAGAGGAACTCTGGAACCAAACAGCTTTGCCTAAAGTGATGTCATGTAGCCAAAATAGAATAAGGTACAGCAGATCCGGGAATCTCAGCAAGATGTGCCAGTGTACAGATGCCAGTTACCATAGTTAGATATGCAATGTCAAGCTGTCCCAGCGTGGTGTCCAGGCACAGTGACATTAGAAGTGGGGTTAAGAGTATGGCCTCTGCAGCCAGGGCTCAAACTCTGTATCGCTGTGTGCCTTTGGCATGCCATTTAGTCTCTCTCTGCCTCTGTTTTCTTATCTGTAAAATGGGGATAGGAATAGTAACTGTCTCTAAGAGTTGTCACAGTCATTGGGAGGCTTACACGAGCCAATCCACATAAAGCAGACAGTGTCTGGCACATCATAGGCAGGAGAATTGTGAGCTACCTTTACCACTCAGTGAAGTGGGCCTAGAGCAGACTCTTGCAGACAGCGTGTGGCACTCAGTCCAAAGGGGAGGCCGCTCCTGCTCAAACCCAGCTGACAGCACCACGCGGGAGTGCAGACCCAGGCTTCCCGAGGCACCTGCTTTCCAAGAGAAGGGGGAGATCGCCAGTGTGTGTGTGTGTGTGTGTGTGTGTGTGTGTGTGTGTGTGTGTGTGTGTGTGTGTGTGTGTGTGTAATGTCCTGGTTTTAAAATATTGTCACCGAATTCAAATTAGGAAAAAAAAAATAACTGCACCGGCCAAAAAAATTATATTCACGAATCCTTGGACAAAATATGGCCCCTGGCCCACCACTTTGCCCCCTTGGTGTTAGAGCAACTCACCTTGACTTCATTTATTGCTACCTGGGTGAATCCCAGACGTGTAAATGGGAAGCAGCAAAGGTTCACGGTTACGAGTGTGGGCTCTGGAGTCAGACTCCTGGCTTTAAGTTCTAGATTTACCACTTTCTTGCTGCGACTTGAGCTCTCTGAGTTTTGGTTTCTCATTTCTAAAGTGGGAGTTATTGGAACCTCCACCCCAGAGAGCTGATAAGAGCATCGATGACATACAATGTACATAGCAGGCCTATGCGACATGATTTTCAGCCCATAGTAAGAACACAATGATCGGTAGCTGTCATATTACAAATATTTTTCGTAAGTGGCACTTTAAATCCTAGCCTTTTATGGAACCTGTTGTTCACCACCAAGTACAGAATCCATTTGTTGGTTGCAAGCAATGAAATCAATTCTAGCTGATGTAAGTCTAAAAGGACATTTTTGGGAATGTCTCGAGTAGCTCACAACATAAATGAAAGTGAAATAATCAGTCCTTGAGGAAGACTAAGAATGTGACAGATCCTGAAATCCCAGCAATACGAAGGAACTAAAAGCAGTCTTTTCAAAGTGTGACTGTTGCAATGGATTGCTCAGCCCAAGATTTAAATTCCCAGGACAGAATCTGATTGGATGATCTTGCATCATGTGCCCACCCATTGGCTAAGAGCAAGGCGTCTTGATTGACAGCCCTGTTAAAGCTGCAGTCAGTTTGGAAGGTGTCTAAATTAAGGCAATTGGGATGACATAGGCAATGCCGCAGTCATCAATAAACCCTGAACTCTCAGTGGCTTCACACAACGAAGGTTTGTTTCTTACTCACATAAAGTCCGATGTGGATGGGGCAAAGGTCTCCAGGACAGCTCTCCTCCACAAGCTGACACGGGGATCCAGGATGTTTCCATATTATGGCTCTTCCGTCTCAACCTGTGACCCCCACAATTGCTGCCAAAAGAGGAGGGAGGGCAGGAGGGGCGCAGGGGGATGTATTTGTTTGCCAAGCCTGGGTGGCTTACAGCATATCTACCCACATTCTGTTGCACTGAACACAGTCACAGGGTTGAATCTGACTGCCAAGGGGAAAGAAAATGTGAAAAAGGAAAATGAAATGGGACTTGGTGAACGTGTATGTCGTCTCTGCCCTGGAAAGAGTAAATGCCCAAAGAAAAGTGGTGATGCTGATGCCAGGATAAGAGGGAAGGGAGGCTGGGCTGGGCCCAGAGAGCTGATCTTGTCTCCCTCCGCACAGACCGTGCCCGCGTGTCCTGCCCAGCCAGCAGCGCACAGCCATGGCAGCCTACGGCCAGACGCAGTACAGCGCGGGCATCCAGCAGGCTGCCCCCTACGCGGCTTACCCGCCTCCGGCACAAGCCTACGGAATCCCTTCTTACAGTGAGTACCAGGCACGCCCTTTTTTCCCTCCCGGGGTCCCCACACCATGTCTCTGTTTTGCCTATCGCCTCAGTTAAATGCAGAATGATAAATGGAGCCAGCCTAATTTTGGAATGCATATAGGGGGAAAAGGGAGACACTTTGCATATGGTTCAACTCTGTAGACTATATCAGGACCTCTTTTCATTGCAAGAATCAGAAACCTAACCGAAGCTGGTATAGAGAGACTAGGAAGTGAATGATTCACATAGTAGAGATGTAGGGATACAGCTGGCATCAGGTGCAGCTGGATCTGGGTGCTCAAATGACATCACGAGGAATGTGTCTCACTCCATCTCCGGATGCTCTCCTCTGAGTTGGCTTTACCCCCGCACAGGTTCCGCCTGCGTGGCAGCAAAGACGGTGCCCATCTACTCTGGGTTTGCGTCCTTTTAGCCCAGCTCTCCCATGGACGGAGAGCTCATCTTTCTTAATCGTTGTGCCGGAATCCCATATTGACCTCACTGGCCCAAAGCAAGGAGAGGGGTGAGGGAGACAAGGAGGCTGAAGCATATGGACTGTGTATGGGGGGAAGTGGGTTCCTCAAAGGAAAACAGAGAGGTGGTATCAGAAGGAGAAATGGAGGTGGGGGTGGGGCAGTGCAGAAGCAACAGGCTTTGACCGTCCACACCTTACGGCTAGGAAGTGAAGACCCGGTGAACCGGGCTCACCGTGCACCACTCACCTGGCCCTGCCTCTGGCCCGTACTCACGCCCTCCCCTCCCCTCTTCATTGATGTAGCAACCAAAGCTCTTTTGGTAGCAAGTGACAAAAACCCAACTCATCAACTTAAGGAAACAGAGGAGGCCATTGCCTACATAGCAGAAAAACTTCAGAGCACTGGCTTCAGGCAGGGTTGGATCCAGGCACTCAAGAGACAATATCAGGAATCGGCCTCTGCTTCCCTTCGTGTGGGCTCCAGTGTCAGGCAGGCTCTCCCATGGTGGTGGCAACGACATTCCTGGGCGTCCGAGGCTGCAGTGCCCCAGTAAGAGCCGCTCCTGTCCAGGACTCCCCGTCCAGTGCCAGGAGTTTCTCCGACTGGACTCCCATGCCCACCCAAGAAGACAGAATGCTCCGGATGGCCACATTTGGCCACATGCCCACCCATGGAACCAGGGGTCAGGTCGGCCTCACCCAAAACAGCTAATCTGGGCGGGAGAAGGGAGGGGTTCCCAAAGGAGCCGGAGGGAGGAGGAAACCACAGACGCCGCTGCGGACGGCTTTACGGTCCACCCAAATCCATGGTCTCTGGTGGAAGGGTCGGTGGGCGGGAGACCTTCCTTCCAGATTCAGCTGCCCTGACGCCAGCCTCAGTTTCTCCAACTGTACAATTAACACGTTCATCTCGTCTTCCCAACCAGATGGTGTTACTTCTGTTTGAGTGCAGAAGCCAAAATCTTATATTTCTTTCCTTCCTCCTCTTCCTCCCTGCCTCTGCCCTGTTAATTCATTAGTTCATTCATTCATTCATTCGACATGGAGTCGTGAGCTAGGCGTACAGTGGTCAGCAAAGCAGAACGGGCCCTGTCTTCGTGGCGCTTACAGCACGAAACAGGTGCTCGAGCAGCACTGGGTCCACGTTTTTGGTGTCGGGAGTAGGTGGCTCTAGGTTGATGGGACGTCTATAGACAGTTGCTGTCGCCTAGTCTGCCGCAGCCCCCACCCGGCCCATGGTAATCGCTTGACTTATCTGCCTGTCCCATGAAGACATGTGGGTTTGCAAACCCCAGCCTAGAAGAAGATAAAAATTAAACCAATTTTTAAATGGCATGTGTTACTTCAAACCATGACGCACGCTGTAAGGGAAGAGAATAAGCTGGCAAGAGAGAAGACAGGGAAGACTCATCTGAGGTTCTGGAGCCGGGGAAGGCCTTTGCGACGAGGAGCCACGCAGCTGGGAACGGAGAGGTGGCGGTGTGCGGACACAGACAGGAGAGCGTGGGGCGGAGGGCGGCCGCAGGAGGGACCCGGCAAGTCCGCGACAACCGGGGCCTGGAGCGGGTGGGAGATGCAGTGAGCGAGGCGGGAAGGGCCTCGGAGGCTAGAAGGATTCAGGGTTTTATTGCAAGCGAGAAGGGAAACCACTGGAGAGTTTGTGAGCAGCGGGCGATATGGTTCAGTCCGGGTTTTCAAAGATCACTTGGCTGCTGCGGGGAGGCCGGATCGGAGGGAGTGGCGGAGACGCGGGAAGGCCCACGGAGACAGATGGCGCCTAGAGCAGGAAGTGCTGGAGGCCCGGGCAGGGCCGCAGCGGTGGGCAGGAGGAGACAGGGGCAGGAGGGACTCGCAGGTGGGATTGACAGGTCATGGCGGGGCAGCCGGTCCGGCATTAGCAGTCGTCACCACCGTTGACTGCCTGCCACTCACATTGGTTTATGTCCATTCATTCCTTTAATCCCCACCTCAACCCTACAAGGAAGGTCATGCCATTATCCTCCCTCGAGGGATAAAGAAACAGAGGCTCAGAGGGAATAGGAAACTCACCCAAGGTCACCCAGCTGGTTGGTGGCAGAGGTGGAACTAAACCCAGGCAGCTCTGGGGTCCAAGCCCTCCCCGCCGAGCTCCGGGGCCTGGGCGTGCACTGCGTAAATCCTGGGGGATTACCGGTGACAGGCCGCGGCCAACAGGTGTGGGCATCTCTTCTAACTCTCTTCCCCTCCTTTGCTAGAAGGCTTATGATACAATCGCACGTAAGTTACCCCACTTGGCTGACAGCCAAGAAAAATGAAGCCATATTATTTTTCACATAAAAGAGAAAACTAGTCCCGCTCCCAGACAAAACATGGCATCAGATGGAAATTAATTTGGTTCAAAGTTATTTTACCGTCTCAGTTACTCTCAGAGAGTCTGTTCCCGAACAATGCGTTGTAGGTGATAAGAGCACATGTCCTGGAATTCTGCTGCCTGGACTCACGTCTCGCCCCTGCCTGTCGCTGGTTGCAGGACACTGGGCGAATGGCCTCACCTCCCTGTGCCTCAGTTTCCTCGTTCATACAATGGAAGTAATACTAATCTGGCCTCATCATGGTTCTTGTGAGGATTAAATGAGATCACCTATTAAATATATATCAAGGGTTGGCTAACTTTTTCTGTAAAGAGCCAGGTGGTAAATATTTTCCACTTAGTTTGCCATACGGAAGCTCTGCTACTGTGGCATGAAAGCAGCCAGACAATATGTAAACTAATGGGTATGTCTGTGTTCCAATAAAGCTTTATTTACACAAACAGGCAGTGGGGCCAGATTTGGCCCATGGTCTCTGATCTAGGTAAAGAGCTTCCTCAGAGGGCCTGGCCCAAGAAAAATTCTCAGTGAATGCCAGCCGTATCGGTAGAAGCTGGGTTGCCACACACACACATCTATATTGTCCATGTCACTGAACAATAACAGGTGGGATGAAAAACTATTTCCCTTCGCATATACCCGTGCCCCAGCAGGAGTGTTTGCTCATCGTCTGGGCAAACTTTGTTGACTCTCGTTGGGAAACTTTTTTCATTGCTCCTTGGCAAATAGCACTATTTACTTTTGTTTAAATAGCTTCAGGGAAATAACACAATTGAGAAAACTAGAGACAAGGACATTGGGAGTATTGCGTATTTTTTTCTCAATTTCTTATGCAATATTAAAGACATATATAAAAGCATAAAGAGTAATACTACAAACACCCATGAACTGACCATGCAACTTAAAAATCAAAGGAGGTGGCCTTCCTTCCTTCTCAGAGATTCCACACCCCTGATTTTGATGTTTATCATCCCCTGCATTTCTTTTTGTAGAAGAGGGAGCAGCAGAGTTTTTCTGCAAAGAGCGAGAGAGTAAATATTTTTGTCTTTGCAGACCATGCAGTCTCTACTGCAACCACTCAGCTCTTCCATTGTGGTGTGAAAGCAGCCACAGACAGTATGTAAATGAATGGGCATGTCTGTGTTTCAATAAAACTTTATTTACAAAAGCAGGAAACAGATCACATTTGTCTATGGGTTGTAGTTTACTGACCTGTGATGTACAGTATTTTAAGCATGTTTTAAAACTTTATGTACTTTTAGTATGCATTCTTTTGCAACTTGCTTTTTTTCCACCTAATGTTATATCTATAAAATTTATCCCTATTCCTACATGTAGATATAGTTCGTTCATTTCCACTAATGCATCATATTCCATTATTTGACTGTATTATAATGCATTTATCCATTCTCTGTTAGATGGTCGTTTAGGGTTTGGGGGTTTTATGTTTGCCTCCCATTCTGTAGGATGCTGCAGTCACCGTTTCTGTGCATTTCTCAGAGATAGAAACCTAAGAGTAGAATTTCTGGGTTATGAGGTATATATATGCACCTTCCTCTTTCCTGGATGACAGTAGAGCATTTTTGTTGTCTATGGCTGTGTGACAAGGCACCCCAAAACTTAATGGCTTAAAACAACACTGATTTATTATTTGTCCTAATTCCTTTGGTTGGCTGGCTGGGCCTCCTGTTGTCTCCCCAGTTCCTGCCATGCTGCTGTATTCGACTGGCAGGTCAGCTGGGGGCTGGCTCAGCTGGGCCTCCCTCTAACACGGCCTTCATCCTGGGCCTCTCCACGCCGTGGCGGGCTCAGGGGTCCAGGAGGGCGAAGGTAGAGGCATCAAAGACTCTTGATGCCTAGTCCCCATATTACCCACGCTCACGCCAGCCGCTCTGTCAGTCCAAGCGTGGCACGGGGCCAGCCTGGATTCTGCGGGTGAGAGAATGGTCTCCACCTCTTGATGAGAGGAGCTGCAAAATATTGTGCCCGTGGTTTTCAACCTAGCACAGCAGATCCAAATTTCTTAACGAAGAAGCAGAGGTCTGCTCCAAGGGAAAACGAATCTGTCGGCATCCAGTGGTGGAATTGGAAACTCAGGAACCGGGAGGATTCCGTGCTCAAACACAGAGTAGACTCTCCTTGTCTATCTTGTAGGATCCTTTAACACCTTCCTGT